AAAAATTTTAACTTTTGAGTATAGGTGATTTGCACTGTAACAAAGGTGTAACACACTAACTTGTATACAAACACTTGTATTAGAAGATATAAAATTTTGCATATTAAATTTATCTATTATTGTTTCATAAAAAATGAAGGAATTCAAACAACTTATTGATTCAGTCCCCATTATGTTGAAATTTCAAGATCAAAAAAGTTATGACCATGCTATCTTGCCTGTGGTAACAGATGAGCTGTCAGTGACATTACGACTGAAACTTTTTGATCATAGTCCTAACTGGACTACTATTTTTCACAAAGGTATGCTTTTTGCATTGTCAGCAAAATTATTGGTTAAAATTGTTTTTTTTTATAATTTTGTCCAACTGGTGCTTTCTCGGCTTTAAATAAAATGCACATACAATTAGGTACTGAGGATTTAGTTCGCACACCTGGACTTTGGGCAAACCAAGCAGGAAATCTGCATGTTCGTTTCTCAGGCTATTTGAATAATAATGATGGAATTAACAAGCTTGCTTGCACACTTTCATTGAACAAATGGTACCATATATCTTATACACTTTCAGATTCTGAAAAAAAATTACTCCTCTACATAAATGGTGAGCTTGCTGGGTCCTATAACATCCAGCAAAAGGTTAGCTTCAATAATGGACCACTGTATGTTGGACGTAGTTTCAACCATGGTGGGTTTAATGGAGAAGTGAGGTATGATTTATTGTAGTAATGGTAATGAAGTTAATCTAAATCACAAAAATATTAAATGATCATTTTATTAAATAGCAATGTTTGCTATTTCAACTGGAGCTTATCTGCTGAAGAAGTGAAAAAATGGTCAGAGGATAAAAATAAGAATAATAAGGAATTCATTGCTAAACTTGGTGAACAACATTCAGAAGTTCTTTGTATTGGTAATATTTAAATTGATTTTTATCATAATAGTTATATAAAAATAGTATCTGGTAAAGATAATTCATTTGTTATTTTTTATTTCATAGAGGGCAAGTATTATATTATAAATTAACTTTTGCAACACAAAATAAACTTTATTAAAACATCATCTAATTAATTATTTTTATTTTTATTTCATAGCTCGTAAGTATTATATTATAAATTGACTTTTACAACACAAAATAAACATTATTAAGACATCATCTAATTAAATAATTTTATTTTTTATTCCATAGAGCGTAAGTATTATATTATAAATTAACTTTTACAACACATAATAATAATAATGATGAATTTAAAATTAAAGAACTACAGGAAATTTCTTCACTACAATTATCCAAATCATCATCATCTGCTCCAATTAGTCAAGCAAGCAAAGAAACAAAGGATGAGCCAAACAATAGAATGATCAATGAAAATAAAGTAACTATTGATAAATCTAAGGATAATTGGTCAGGATGGCTTGATGAGGCAATTCAGAAGGAACACATTAATTTTTATGATTATGGTAGTAGGTTTAAAAATATTCAAAAAATTGGTTCAGGTTATTCTGGAAAAGTTTATAAGGCAACATTGGATAATAGCAGTATTTGTGCCTTGAAATCCTATAAACATGGTATAACAAATATGAAAGAAATTACTAATGAGGTAAATTATAATATATTTTTGGTTGTGAATTAAAAAAAATTTTCAACTAATGATAACAATTGGTTCAACTAGTTGAAATTGTTACGTAAAGTTAATCATCATCAAAATATTATTCATTTCTATGGTGTCACTAAGAATGAAAGTATGTTTAAATTATTTCCTATTTTGATTTTCTCCATTAACTAATATTTATATTTATATATAAAGGCAAAGAGAGATATTTATTGGTCCTTGAGTATGCAGATAGTGGAACACTGAGAAGCTACCTACAAGAATCAATTAGTTGGGATCTAAAGCTGAAATTTGCATATGAGATTGCATCATCTGTTTTGTGTCTACATGAAAACAATATTATCCATCGAGATTTGGTAATAAATAATAAACCTATTATTTTTAAAAAAAAATTATATTTAATAATGTTTATCTTTTTTTGAAAAGCATTCAAACAACATCTTGGTTCATCAAAAAACCATAAAATTGGCAGATTTTGGATTTTCCCGTAAAATACTTGAACTTACAGCTACTTCAGCATTCCAATTAGCAGGAGTGCTGCCTTATATTGACCCACAATGTTTCAAGTATAATAGCAAGCCAAATAAAAAATCAGATGTATACAGTGTGGGTGTTTTATTATGGGAATTGACTAGTAACAAACCACCTTTTAGTAATCATCATCAACAACATGCTGCTTTAATGTATGATATTTCTCAAGGATTTCGTGAGGAACCTATTCCTAATACACCTGATGAATACATTAATTTATACAAAGGTAAAAAATCTATATATGTATTTAAAAACTATATATTTAAATACATTAAATTTTTGATAATTTACTTGTATCTAGCATGTTGGCAGGATGACCCAAAAAGCAGGCCTGATATTCAATATGTTGAAAAAATGCTTAATGTAATGATTTCAGGCTCAAATATAGTTGATAAAGTTGATAGAGAGGAAAATTATGGGCAACAAAAAAATGAAGACAGTAATTCTTTCAGTTATCCCAGTACTATTGATCACTTGCAAGAAGATTTTGATAATAAAGTCAAAGAGCTTTCAGAACTCTGAAAATTCTACATTAAAATATTACAATGTAATTTTAAATTATGTGAATTATTTAATATTATATTCATACTCTCATTTCTTATTGTATTTATTTATATAACCAGCATTGTTGACATGGACATGGACTACCCCACCCTGGAGAAAACTATAAATTTGCCTTGTAAATAATGCTACTTTTAGAACAAGTGAAAAAAAATTTTTAATTAATAAATCAACTGGGAATAACAGATGTGGCATAATTTTATTTGGGGATAATAAAAAATATAATAAAATAATTTTGCTCATTAAGAAATTCATCAGGAATATTTTATGAACTATTTTTTTAATGTCACATTCCTATTCTTTTTCTGTGAACTACACCTTTATAACAAATAGCTTGGTATACAGTTGCAAAAAACCACCTTCACATCTTTTCAATATTTGTTAAATCATTATAAGGAATCCATTCAAGATAATATTTATTAGAGTGTATAGTTGCTTTAAGTTGTATTTTTAATCAACTCATCTAATGTTTTGTTGCCAATCACATAATTGACACCATGAATATGAAGTAATTAATACAGTCAAGCCTTCTCACAGAAGACTATAATAATAATTAATATTAAATTCTTGTCATAATGGATTTTTAAATTTTTGCTTCATATATAAAAATCTGTTGTGGCAAGATTAGCAATCTTGCCACAATGGATTTTAAATAAAATTTTCTTATGTGTCCCATTCATTCATCTGCTGTGACAAGGTTTGACTGTATCAAGTAATTTGCTATATGGAGAAGAATTTTATTATTAAACCTCAATCCATTAGTATCCACTAAATTGAGATACACATACACTACATTGAGATTCATTGTGTAATATAAATTTAATATAAAATTTAGGAATCAGATCAAATCACTCTAAAATTCAATTCAATTAGATTTGTTTGGAGCCTTAGTTAAAAGTTCAATTATCTAAAAACTCTTAATTTAATCTAATTAAAAAAAAAATGTTACTTTCTTTATAATTCCCGTGAGTTAATTATTTTATTGGTTTATTACATTTTATCAAATTGGACTGGTTTGAATTCTTGAAATGTATGGTGCGGACCCTTAACCACCATTTACTGCGCCTCGTGGCCAATTTCAAAAATGTGTCAAATTTTAAAATTTTTCAATTTATCCACGTATTATTGGGGTGTGCGACATTCTAAGAAAATCAAAACTAATTAATGCCATATATTGATTGGTTATATGTGATTTTTTTTTGTGATCTGCATATCATATACAGAATTTCCGAAATTTACATAAAG